TATATCTGATAAATTTTATATCAGTAAAAAACGCAAAGAAAAAAAATTAAATAAACTAAAAACAATTTTACAATATGGTTATTAAACAAAAAATAATAATATAGAAAATGATTTTTTTAACATATAAAGCACTTTATCTTTATTATTTTCTATAAAAATAGAATACATATTTATTGATGAAAACATGATTTCCTTGTTATTAATATCGATAATGCCAATTAGTCTTCATTCCTAAAAATATAGATACTTATGACAGTAAAAAAAGGAAAAACTTAAAAAAATAAATTTTTAAAAAATTTTCAACCAATTACATTTGTTATTAGATGAATGATGTTTGTTTAAATATGTTTATATAGATGCAATTAAATAACATAATATATTTGTCGTGGATAAATCAAGTGAAAAAATCAAAAGATGTGTTAAACCGGAATTTTGAAAAAATAAACAAAAATTTATTCATTGTTTCGATGTTTATTAGTAATTTTTTCGCACTATTGTAGAATCTGTGTTGTAATAATTATCATTGTACAATTTTTAAATATTAAAATACATTTTCGTGTAAAAACATTGCTAAGTATCCTGTCATACTCCACTTAATACAAAAGTGTAGTACGAGTGAAATAAAGATAGCGACTTACTGGCGTTCATCAATATTTTTGGAGGTGTTCATACCAGACATCGGCTTTTAGATATTTGGCGGATTGTATTCAAAAGACATTGTAAAAGTATTAAAGGATCTTTTTTTATTTGGTAATGGTTTAATTATAAACGAATTAAATAGAATTAAATGAAATAATAATGTGGAACATGTTTAGGATAACACACTAAGTGTTAAAATTTAAATATTTATCAGTTTTAAAGACAATTATTATTATAATCATAATAAAAAAGTAATATGTTTTTTTGCAAACCTGTTTTGTGAAAAAAAAATTCTATAAATTTTATAGAGCGGAAAAATATTTTAAAAGATAAAAAAATTTCATTAATATAATTTTTACAATTTTTTTTTGCAAACAATTATCGACAAGAGAAAATTGTTTTGCATTTTTATTCCAAATATTATTGGAGGAAATTACATCATTAAAATATTTAATATTAATGGGATAAAACTTTAAAAATACCAGAATAAATTATATTAAAAGTAAAATATAAACAAATGTATAAATCTAAATTGCTATGAAGCAATTTTTACAAGGTTTAAAATTTTAAAAGTTTCACCAAAAGCAAAATCTTGTTAAAATTTTTATAAATTGGACTATATAATATTAATGATATATGATTTTAAAATAAAAAATAGTAATTTATATTCTAGATGGTTTTTATCGGGTAATTTGCGTTGAAAAATAAGATAAGTCTTATGAAAAAATTTAGAAATATTATAGTGTGCTAGTATATTCAGATGAGTTGATAATAAAATGTATTTTTTTAGATATTGCAACTTTTTTGTTTTTAATTTTCATTTTAGCTAGTATTACTTGGTTATTTTTTTTAAAAAAAATAAATATAGACATAAAATATAAAAGAAAAAATATATAACGTAATAAGAAAAGCATATATTGAAGAATTTTGTTTTAAAAATTTTATAAACATAAAATAATATCAAAAAGGCATCGAAATTGTTTTCTGTTTAATTAGGTTAACCCTTTTTTATTAAAAAAATTTTAATAATTCAAATTATAAAATTTATAATTGTAAAGCTACAATATTTTTTCTTTTGTTCTTAATCGTATGATATTTATATATCAAAGTTTTTTTTGTACATGATACGATCAAGTTTGTTGTATAAGTCTAATATTTAAACATTAAAATTTGTTAAGATAAAATTAAAATATGTATATTGAACCTTGCAATGTGAAAATATAAAATGTCATTGTAATGAAAATATTAATTCATTGATATTTTTAATTTTTGTGTTACGCTTAATAATCATTAAGAAAGGCACATCAATGTCTTTCTTCAAACTCATGGGTTGAAAGTTCTAGGAAGACCTCTAAATCTTTACAGTTTCATATTTTAGGATGAATATAAATTTAATTTAAAGATATTTTTTATCTTTATGTATATTTAATATGGTTTTTTAATTTAATATTTGATCGGAAAGGATCAAAAAAACAAAAATTTTTATTATTTATTATTAGTAAACATTGCAATAATAATAATCATAAAATGATTAAACTTGATCAAAAAATTAATCAAACTTTAATATCATGAAACAAACAAAAGAAAAGATAATTATTGCAACATATTTCTATTAATTTTGAAAAGCAAAAAGATAGAAAATAACCAGTGAAAAATCAAAAATATTATTTTCAATCGGTAAAATTATTTCTTACTCAATGTTTATGCTATAATAAAATTGATTCATTTTTTTCCAAAACTTCCAAACATTTTATACTTATATTTTTTACCTCATAAAAGACTCGAGAATAAAAATAAATTTAGAACTAAAAATGACAATAAAATGTAATCCAAAAAATAAATACTTTAGGAATAAAAAATTTTCAACCAGTATCGGAATTTTACCATTATCTGCATTTTTTCCACTGTGTGCTATATAATAAAATCACAATGTTAAGGACTAAGAATTAACCTGGCGTATTATAACATAAAAATATAAAGCGGCCTGTGTTTTTTTAAAAAAACAAAATTTAGACAATATAGAGTTTTTTAATGTATCTAATGATTATAGTGCCTTATTTAGCACGCTTTATAGTACAAAGAATGTTTCGAGAGATATATCTAACACTGAAGTAATTAATTATTCAATTCATTTTAATTTCTTGAAAGACATTCTATACAATGAGTAAATCAACTTTTAATATGCAAAACATTGTAAATGTTCATTTTTTACAAAAAATTTGTTATATATAATATACAGTTCGAAAAGCACACTAATTCCATGTAAATAAACAAAAATTTACGTAATTGTTGGAAAATGAAAATCAATGCTGAATAGGAAAATTCTTGCACAGTTTGGTCAAAACTTATTTATTCTTCGATCTAGATCTAAATACTTTTAAAATCACATAGGGAAGACCCTAACTATGACTGAACGTCTCGCTCGAATAAGGATGGTGTGGAAACCTTGATTGATACCTTTTTATTTAATTCTTAAATCCTTTTTCAAACAATTTATCAGAAGAATATTTATATACCAGAATAAAAAACCAACAATTTAAATATGGTAGGTTTATTCAAATGTGAAAATTTATTTGTATTTTTAGATAAAACCTTTTAAAAATAACAAAGGGTAAAAAATATATTTAACATTTCAAAATTTATTCGATCAGGGACTTTTTGGGTCATTTCTTTTGTTATTTGTGTGTTAGGAAAAATATTTTGACTTTTTATTAAATACGGCGGGTATATGATATATTAAGCAACAAAAAATATTACTTTTGATATATTTTGCATCAAAGTGTACTATTTTTGGTTCTTTAAATTTTATTGTTGCGATTTTATCAGCTTTTAAACTAAGCTATCATAAGGGTTATTTTTTTGTTAATTATGTTCCTATATATTGTTTCTTAAAAATTTTTCTATTGTATGTAAACTGAATTACAATACTTGATAGCCTTTTGCATCTTTGTATTTTTAAAGAATTCAAAGATCTTTACAGCCTAATATTTTGTTGATAAAATGTTTTAGTTTCGTATTCACAGATTTCTCTAAAGACGTAACTTTCATAATCTAAAAATCAATAAACTTAACTTACCAATTGCAATAAAAAATTAAAAAAACCATAAAGGATTGTGAAAAATAAACTTAATCATTATAATATGCAAATTATAGAATTTTTGGCATTATAAAACAACAATAGATTTAAATTTAAAATAAATTTAAACATAATGGACAATCTTCAGTCGGTATATTATAAGATACAGTTCTAATTTACACATGTAAATATTAGAATGTTTTTTTAGGCCATGAAGTGTGCAACTAAACAATTAGATACGGTAAAAAATTTTTAAAGAAAATTTTCAATATAAAACTAGAATAAAAAATAGTGTCATTTAAACTATAAAAAATTCGAAAAGAAATATATATTTTTCAAATTGAAATTTTTACGAATAAATTCAACGAATA